ACTACTACTACTACTACGTACTACTTACTACTTACGACTTACTACGTGCTCCTCCTCCTCCTCCTACTACTACTACTACGACGACTACTACTACTACTACTACTACTACTACTACTACTACTACTACTACTACTACTACTACTACTACTACTACTACTACTACTACTACTACTACTACTACAACTACTACTACTACTACTACTACTACTACTACTGCTGCTGCTGCTGCTGCTACTGCTACTACTCCTACTACGACTACTACTACCACTACTACTACGACTACGACTATTATTACTACTACTACTACTACTACTACTACTACTACTACTACTACTACTACCAGTACTACTACCACTACTACTACCACTACTACTACTACTACTACTACTACCACCACTACTACTACCACTACCACTACCACTGCCACTGCCACTACCACGTCCACTACCACAACCATTACCACTATCATGTCCACCACCATTACCAATACCAGTACTACAACGCGCGAGCACACCGAGATCAGACATTCCCCGGTATGTTTTTCCGGAAACCGAATGGTCACACGTAAGCCAACCAGTTGGCTTTCGAAGACTCTGCAGCCCGACCCCGCTCGAAACATTCGCAAAAGAAGCGCCGCAGGAATCGTACATTCCCCGGTGCTACCAGGGAATGTCCGTTTTTCCCGGGGAATGTCCGATTTTCCCGGGCTAAGTACCGATCGCCACGGGCAAGGGAGGAGGGAGAAGGCGGAGAGAGGGAGGGAGGAACGGGAAAGGGGGGGAGGGTTGGAGGAAGGAGAGGGGGGAACGAGGATGGGGGGAGGGAGGGGGCATGCGGAATGAGGCAGAGCAGAGGGCGGTTGAGTTGACCTATGGGCACCCCCCAAAGGGACACCCCCTACCGCAATAAATTGACGGCGCGCTTGGGGGGGAGCAGGAAAGCAATGCGTTCTCTTGAAGTTTTCCAGAAGTTCTCTTGGAAACCGTCCGGAGACTCCTCCAGAGGCTCCACCAGAGTCTCCACCAGAGACTCCTCCAGGGGTTCTGTCAAGTGCTTCAGCAGATGCTCTTCCAGAAGCTGTCCATGAGGCTCATCCAGAGGCTCCTGCAGAGGTTCCTCCAGAGACCCTTCCAGGAACTCCCTCCAGAGGCTCTCCATGGGACCAGGCTTCATGAGGCTCAGGGGGCCCATCGGGCTCATCAGGCTTATCGGCCTCATCGGGCTCGTGGGGCCTGTCGGCCTACTGGGCTCATAGGGACCATCGGCTCTATAACGGCTGCCAAGGTCCATCGGCCGCAGTGCGCCCGTCAGGGCTGAGACGCGCAATAGGGACTGCAGGGCTCACAGGGTTCACCGTCCTAAGGATCATGGGGTCACAAGGCCCATCCAGCCCGTCGGGCTCCTAGGGGTCACGGAGCTCCTGCGCACGATCGACCTCGAGGGATAGACAGGGCCCGTCGGCCTCTCTCTCACACGGGCTTCATGCAGAGCGCAGCCTGAACTGCTCGCCAGGCTCGTCGGCCTCGTAGGGCTCATGGGGCCCACCGGCCTCGCGGGGCCCACAGGGCCGATCGGCCTCGTTGGGAGGAGGAGCAACAGGAGGAGGAGGAGGAGGAGGAGGAGGAGGAGGATCGCCTTGACCTCTTCCCGAAGTTCAGTTCTCCTATGGCCGAGGGGCAGAAATGCGATTGACCGCTTTCGATCCCCGCGCGTGTTTGCATTTCCTCCTACCTCGGCCTCCTACGTCGTGATTTGTTCAGTGCCGGCGTTTGTTTCACAGAGACCTCTCCAGAGAACGCAGTGTTGTCCACTCACACTGTACCGCGCCCAGTAGAGGGCAAACTTCAACCTTCCTCGCGCCGTCCACGATGCCCATTAACCCCCGAGACTGCGAAATCTACATCACCTTACGAGCGAATGCGCGGCCTTTACGAGGAGGGCGCAAAAAACTCATGTTCAAGTGTTTTACTGTTTTTTCCCTCCTGACTCACACCCCTGCACATTTTCTCAGAGCTCAGAGTTGCATGGATGTCGCAGGCGAAACGGGCTGGGCCACCTCTCGCGCAACATCTTGGAGCTCACGGGCGCGAGGATGTCTCAAGCGAAACGCGCCGGACCTCCTCTCGCGGCATCACGGAGCGCAGAGTTGCGAGGATGTCTCAGGCGAAACGCGCCAGACATCCTCTCGCGCGGCAGCTCGGAGCGCAGAGTTGCTTGGAGGTCTCAGAGGAAACGCGCCAAACCACCTCTGGCGCGGCATTTCGGAGCTCAGACTTGCGAGGATGTCAAATGAAACGCGCTGGACCACCTCGCGCGCAACGTCTCGGACCTCAGGATTGGGAAGATGTCTGAAGCGACACACCGGACCATCTCGCGCGCATCAGCTCGGAAGGCAGAGTTGTGCGGATGCATCAGGCGAAACGAGCTGGACCACCTCGCGCGCGGCGTCTCGGAGCTCAGAATTGAGAGGATGTCTCAGGCGAAACGTGCCAGACCACCT